TATTTTGTAGCAAATTTTATGGGCTTTAAGATGATCAAGAAAGAAAAATTTTTTCTGGGTCAGATGGGCCGAAATATTTTGTTAAATCAGATCACCCCCAAATCACCTCCATTTTCCGTTGATTTTTTGGTATCGTGATCTCGATGATTGGGATGAAATAAAAATCGGTTTTTTTGCCATTCTTCATCATATCGCTAGAGAAGGTCTCAGAAATTTTTTTAGATTTTTTCCATGTTTATTTTCCATAAAAAACTAAATGTAAAAATTTTCCCTATTTAAATTTCCGCGCACTTTTTAAGTTAACATATATAAATGATTTTTTCTCGCTTAAGTGAAAACTCTTCCTTTAATGATTATTAGTCATTTGATAGCTTATAAATAAAGCTACAAAACTATATAAAAGTAATGATCCGGCATAACTGATTAGCCGTATAATTTTTAGAAATAAAATTAAAAATATTTTTCCCTATTTAATTTTCCGCCACTGTAGGAACTAAGTAAAAAATATGATCCCGGCACTAAGATTGTCGGATCCGGATCCGAAAAAAGGCTGGATATCCGAAAATTTTAGATTTGGATACCGGATATCCAAAGATTTCCAACTATCCGATAACCTTACCTGGCACTCTTTCAAAAAGAGTCCTTTTTCATAGAAAATTAACTCTATTGCATTAAACAATGTATAGACAAAAAAATTTTAACAAAATGATAAAAAAATATTTTCTAAGACAAATAAACAGATAAAATAATTATTTAATTATCTAATAAATCATCCATTTTAATTAATTTGCTAGTACTTGTATGTTGTGTAGTTAATGTAGATGGAGGCATTTGTGATAGTGTTAATTGGGGTTGTTGTTGTTTTTGATTGTTTGGTAAATTATTTTGTTGTAATAATTGTTGTTGTTGTTCATCCTCGCTGAATAAAATCTTTAAAAAATTAAAAATTTATTTATAGACATTACAGTAGGGGTCGATCGGAAATGACAAAGGTGCCGGAAATCGGAACAGTCGAAAATCGGGAGGAAAAAGAACGTCGGAAGTCGGAATTCCGATCGACCCCTGCATTAAATTTCTGTGACGGTCAGTCAATCTATTACTATTTTTTGAGACCAATAAGCTAATAAACGTTCTTCAGTGTTGGTCCACAATAGCCCGATCCCTAATATCTCACGACTTAGCAGTCGGAAATCGGGAGAAAAGCATGCCTAGACCAACTTAAAGGAGACAAGGTGGCAAGGACTTGGATTTACTTTTAAAGGAGGAAAAAGTCTAAAAATCCGCTCTAAAAATAAGGGAGGCAAGGTCTTGGGGATTTATTAGAGTTTCACCGGAAGTTCCGGTTCCGGTTCCGGTCAAAATTTCGGTTCCGGTGAAACACTAGGATTTATACGGCTTTTGAGGATAGATATCCTCAAGCTAGGCATTCAAGCTAAGCATTTTAGGAGTCGGAATTCCGATTGAAACTTGCATTACAGGTCTGTTTGTTTATATTTACCCACATTTCCTTTAATAGAGCCTTAAAAGTTCTTTACCTTATTTTGTTGAAAATCTGCATTATCTGCCATTTTTATTTGTTTTTCTTTTCTTTCTGTAGCTGCTTTTAGGGGAGAATTTAAATAGTAATAATGAGAATAAGGCAAGAAATTATTAGGAAGTTGATTATCTTCAAGAAAAAAATTTCTTTCATACTAAAAAAATATTTCTATTCCAACCCTGTTTTTGTAAAAATTCATTCGAATAAAGCTCTCCAAAAGGCTCTGGAGGTCCTTCAAACTCTTCATTATTAAAATATTTATTGCCTAAGGGCATAAAAGTACTCTGGGGATTAAAAAGATTTGTGGTTGTTGTTTTATATGGGGAGGGCATGTAATTATTATTGCAAACCCCACAACTTGCTCTACAATAATTTAACATAAATTCCGGAATTTTTTGACAAAAATTTAGTTTTGCCCAATTTGGGCAGCCAAAAATGTGCGAATCTCTGCAAAAGAAAGGTTGGTTGTTGAAAGGTTGATTGGTGGAGAAATTGTCGTTGTAATTGTATTGAGAGGTTGTTGAGGGGCTATAAGGTTGGGTGGAAGAAAGGGTTGGTGATTGTTGAAATGAAGGGTTTCCACCTCCATTATTGTAATAATTAGTCAAGTAATTCGATGATGGACAGGGGACACCACAAGAAATTGGACAGTTTGCAAGTGTGTTTGGACTGTAGGTACATTTGCCTGAACTTGCTTGTAATGCACAAGTTGTTGATTGGTCAATGCATTGCAAGGAAGGGCTTAAATTTTAAAATTAGAGTAGAGTCAAGATATGAATCAGGGATGTGCCGGGAAGCGAAAAAGGAAGGGCGAAATCCCAAAAAGCGAAATTTAACGAAAGGCGAAAGGCGAAACACCAAACGAAATTTAGCAAAGGACAAAAGGCAAAAGTGGGCACACCTCTGATACATTTGCGTGGAAAACCGTTCAAAAAATGTAAAAGTGGGAGGGAATGGTGGCCCCTATAAAATCTTCAAAAAAATTCTCTAGGTGGGAGAGAAATAAATTTTTTTGGTCAACCTACTTATATCCTCCTGTCTGTCCATAACCATATCCTGAAGGATAAGCAATGCCTGGCTGCCAATAAGAATTAATTCCGAATGGTGGCCCCTAAAATATCTTCAATCAAAAATATTTTTAATTTCCTTCACCTCATAACCACTTTGTCCATAATTACCATAAGGGGTCAAGTAAAAGTAACTGGACTTCCCGTATGGGGGAAATGAAGATAAAGGTTGTTGACTTAGAGAGGAATAAAAAGGATTATTATTAGAATATCCAAATTGTTGCTGTCCATAATTAAATACAAAAAATGATAAAAAGACAAAAAAATGGAGAAAGAAAAATTTCGTTACAAAATAGGAAAAAATTTGATACATCTATAAAATTAAAATATTAATTAATTAATTTTTGATTATAGTCTAATCTCGTTTTTAGATTCCTCATTGGGTTTTTAAATTCAAGTAAGGGATAATTTTGGTTATTTTGAAGTTGGGGCAAAGTTCGTCCAAATAAGGGATGAACTCCATATAAGGGATGTCCCATTCAAGTAAGGGATGTAACGGCTTGAGAGAAAGTCTAGTTGGGTGGGGAGATCCCTGATCCATATATCTCAAATTGAAGACCCTCACTATAAAATAGATTTGGGTTATCTTATAGTGAGTGTGAATAATTTAATTTTCCAATAGATTTTGGAAACCAGAATGTTTGTAACTTAGTTAAGAAGGTCAGACACGTCCACTTTAAGCTAATACTCGTTAAGTGGGTCGAAAATGTATGTGCCTTCAAGAAACATGCCGTATTCCCTAAAATAAAGGGCAATAATTTTCAACTATTCTCCAAAAATGTGGCTCTATTTTAGGGCACAAACTATAATTTTCGGCACAAACTTATCCAGGTATTTGTAATTGAGCCAAACAAAATAGACTCACAAAATTATATTTGTTCAACAAAACGTCTAAAAATTGCAAATAAATAAATATTTTTATAAGGCATATTCAAAAAACACTTTAATATTACACACATTGAAGGACAAAAGTATATTAAAAAAGGAGATTATCTTTTATTTATTTTAGTTTGTTTAAAAATAGTATTATTTATGAAACTCGTTTTGATGGAAAAAATTTTTTAGGCACAACCTGGAACAGACAGGAAATAAACCAAAATGTAGGAAAGATAAGTTACGCAAGAATAATAATTTTTTATTAAACATAAATTATAAAGTTACATTAAATTTGTTGATTTTTGATGCTATAGAAACTAGGGTTTTCGGCTCCTAGAAAATCTCTGGATATCCGGAAGCAAACGAAAAATCTCGGTTCTTCAGTTCGGTTCCAAACCGACAACTAATCGAGGTTTTAGCTGTTTATGTTTAACATAACTCATTCATTTTGTTTAAAAAACAAAGGGTGATCAAGTTTCCTTTCACCCCTTTCCTTTCAGCAATAATGAAAATGATCTGTCGGTGATTATTTGAATGGTTTCAAGCATCGCTAAGCCCTCAAAATCAAGTCCCATCCAATTATTTACAATTTTTTTGAATTGGGTAGGCACTAGCTGTACAAGACTTGGTCCTGGCTCTTGGCCTTGGGGTCTAGTTTTAGTCTTGGGTCTTGAAAAATTTTCGGTCTCGGATAGCTCAAGTCGGCACTATCTTATGACATCATTTTCTTTATTTATAATCATTTCGATAGACATGTTGAAACACAAAAAACTTTTCACCAAAATTTCACCATAATTTTTATACAATTAAAAACTATAACTATCCATAATCTCATTGTTTTTTAAATTCATTTTAGTAAACAAATTACTTTTTTTTAATATTATTTCAACAATATACTAGCTGTCTAGCTCAATTTTTGTGTTGCTCGCACATTTTTAAGAGGCACATAAAAAACTATAGAAAAATTTAGAAATATATGCTATTTAGATAAAGCTTAGAAAATAGTGCAGCAAAGAGACATGCATTAAAAAACATTCGTGTGCCGTTTTAGACTAACCCCTCACATATTGTGTGTGTTTTTAAAATAAAGAGAAGAAGCATTCAATAAATTTTATTTTTAGTTTTGGCTTTATTTGATAAATTATATTGTCATTATTATTTATGTAAAGCAATATCAAGACCTATCTTAACCAGAGATGGGCCGGGTTACCCGAAATTTGAAATCTGGTCTTTTTTTGGCGAGAAACCCGACCCTAAGAAAATTCCGAGAAAGCAGGTCCAAAGAAAATTTTCAAAAACTCAAATCCAAAAACATCAACACGAAATCGAAATTTCGAAAATCAAAACTTGAAACCCGATCCGAAGAAAATTTCGAATACGCGACACGAAACCCGACTGACTTTTTTTTCTCAACCCGGTCCATTCCTGATTTGAACTTAAAAATATTTTTTTCAATAAAGGATTATCCTCTTTTTTCTTCCTTCAAACAACACTATAGTTAATTTAAAAATAATTTAAAATTTCGCCCCTAATGAATCAACCAAATAATATTTATTTGGAAGAAAAGTGCGATGAGGAAGACGACGAAATTCAACAAATAATTTTAAACAATCAAAAAAATTTTGAAAGGGGAAATTTAAAGAAAATTTCTCAAAGTATTTCGGCACATGCTAATTTGGTTTTTTTAGTTTTTTACGAAATTTAAAAATTAAAAATTAAAAGGATTTCCAATTTAAACATAAAAAGCTTTTGGAATCAGATGGTAGAGAGGAGGAGGAGAATAAAATTACGAATAATAAATTAAATTGTGAAGATGGTTGTCATGTAGATGAGGAGGACAGCGATGAAGAATTGTATATTTTAAACTTTTATTTGTTGTTTACACTGGGGTTGACCCTACCTAAAATTTGGATCGGGATTATCTTTTAGACTCGAAATCAAAAAACCGGGATAATCCCGCCCGACCGGGATTCCGATCCCACTCAACCCTAGTTTACATATTCGAACTTCACTATCAGATACACTAAATAGAAGGGGTGTGCCAGTTTCGCCTTGTCTACTTTCAACGAATTTCGCCTTTCTTGGTTTTTCGACTTCGCTTTCTTACCCCAGTTTCGGCACATCTCTACCTCAAGTTAAGATACCGTTTTTATTAGATGGTTGATCACAGAGTGATACCTTCTATTCAATAACGCCTCATTATAGGTTAACATTTTTCCAGCTCCCAGAGTTGTCTCTTCTAGTGAGATTCGACTTCTATTTTAAAAATTACATCCCATAATAAATCATTCCTCAAAACAGTTTCGCAGCACATTCTTCGCTTATTCCTCTACGCAAATCCAAGTCCGCGTTAGCCGGATTTACCTCTCATCTTGGTACTTCAGCTTCTCATTCAAAGCCGCTTCTCTGTTCAAAAATAGTTAAAGAAGGTATTAATGACAGTCAGGAGGAAATTATGGAAATGATAGATTTGCGTAAAGGGGACATTTTACAGGTAAAATGTATTAAAATAATTGCTTTTACTTCCTCAACTAAAGATTGCCTGATAAGTTGACCCTAAACTTTTGAGACACTCTAGAAGTAAAACAAGGGGTATCAGGCCATGGGGTATCCTTAATACCCTCTCACCAAGGGGTATCCTTAAGGGGCCTGCCTAAGAGGTATCTTTTAAATGCTGCCCGCTTGATAAATTTTCTCATTTTTTCAGTTCCGCATCGAAGATGACCTCAAAAACGACCGAAAACGTTCGGATAATCTAGCTGGCTGTTCTCCATCCCAATACTCACCCATCCAAACTCTTCCCACATCTCCTGAACCGCAGAGCCAACACCAACTAGAACAAGATTGTTGGTCAGCCCCAGCATGTCCAAATGACTCACCAGATTCTTTTGAAATCGGGGAGGGTGATGAAGAATATTCTAAAGATTTAAAAATGTTATCTTCTGAAAAGCAAGACTTGAATTATCGTAAAGAAAGTAGCTGGTCGGCTCCCGGCCAATTTAATAGCGAAATGATTGAGATTCCCTTGCAAAATGAGAAGAAAGAGGACAAACTCGAAGCAGAAAAGTTGAGGAAAAAGAATATTTTTACCGGTAATGAAAACAACGATTTGATCCCTATGGCAGATGATGATGGATCTAATACACCAAATTATGCTTCTTTACATGGTGGATATTTGACTTTACCTCCCGGTTTTAAATGTCACTCAGCTGTTGATAATTCAAGTAATTTGATTATTAATACATACAGTCGAACCTGAATATGTATATGAACCTGAATATAAGGCACATGGCAATTTAAAATATTTTCTTAATATGGTTGGTCAAAGGGTGAGGAAGCTGCCTATACGATACCGTCCATTTAAGACACTAAGATATAGTTAGCAAGGACGGCTGATCCTAGAAAATCCGTGTGTATCCGGATCCGATGATAATACCGGAAATTTTCGATATCCGGAGTTTTTTTGATCCGCCAACACTAATAGTCATCAGTGTATTTTAGTGAAGTCCGGCCATACATATATTCTCGTCTAAAATTAATTTTTGGAAAAAATATATTTTCCTAATTCAAGAATTGTCCGATACAATGAACTCTTCATTCTCTTCCTACTTTTCTGACGACGAAGAGGAACAGAGCCCTGATTCATTCCATTCCCAAAGGCGGAAACGCCAACAATTAATGCATCATTCAGCGGCAATGCGTCTTTGTAGGCGTGGAAGTCCTCCTTTTGCCCAGGCAAGCGAAATCCTATTCCTATTTACAAATCTACTTTTTTAGATTGATTTACTAAGCGAGTCTGAAATAAGTGATTTAGAGCAGCAAATAGCTAGCGGTTGTTTGGTAAATCGCGATCATGTCCTGACAACAAATTATGAGGGGGATGAGAGGACTAACAAGCATTCAAGCATAGATGACGAATATTTTGACCAAGATTTGGAAGATTTTAAGCAACAAAAACCTAGCGATGGTTATAATCATGAAATGCATTCATTTGAAACTGAAAAATACTGGTAGGACTTAGGGATGGACCGGGTTATCCGATGGCCGAAACCCGGACTTTTTCGACTCGAACCCGAATCTAAGGAAAATTCCATATTACGACTGGATTAAAAATAGTAACTAAAGCTGGCTTAGGGTATAACGTCACCTTAGAAAGAGCTATTAGTTAACCCAATATTCGTCGTTATTACTAAAAATTTGCCTTTTTTAAGTCATCATCATCTACCGCAGATGAGATTTCACTATTCAATGCCTGCAATCGTTAACTCCTTGCAAGATTCAGTACCGGATAGGGTAAAATTTCGTCGGTCTGACACTGAAGATTTTTTGATTGAACGGAAAGCTGGTGCCTCGAGTGAATGTAAATACTTTTTATTTTCTTTAAAATCCTAACTAATTCCCCTCCTTTAAAAAACTCATTAAATAAATTTATTTCACATCCAGGCACATTATAGAGGATTTTACGAGTATTTATTTTCCCCCATCTGCCATCCAACTACTTTTCTAAGAATATAGCTAACCATCTCTCATTTTGTGTCTAAACTAATTTTAGCCGAGGAAAATCCTCATGACTTCCATTCTTAGCTTTATGTCTCTCCGTTTTGTGCCACTTTTAAGGAAAAATCGATTCTGGCAATTTTGCCGTCTTTTAAACTCCATTTTTTGGTTGTTTAATTATCCACACATTTTAAAATAGGCTTCAAAAAAGTCCCAAAAATTTTTCCAAAAATTTCAGTATCCAACCATCAATCCCCCCTCAAACAGGATGATTTCTGCAACACCCAAACAAACCAAAATGTAACACCCTCAACTCTATCAGATTGTGAAACTGAAGATAAATTGCCTACATTCAACCCACCTATACCTAATAATAGGCAACATCTATCATTATCATTTACCTCTAAACGTCGCCAATTACCAAAAACACCATCCCCTGAGGACCCACTTGAACATATTGATATTGCTACTGCCTCTCGTGAACGTCTATTGGACGTTCTAAAACAAACTTATCAACTGCTAAATTTAAGCAGGGAGAAAGAAAGTGGAAGGAATAAACATTTATATATGAATTGCGAGGATCAACTAGATCATAATAGAGAGAAGGTATTAGAGATATACAAAAATTATACTAGAGATCCGAAAAAGTAGTTCCCCAACTATTGAAGGTTCCATGTTTTCCGAACAGCAGTTCCTATACTGGTTCCAGAAACAGGGAAAGCACCACTGCTCAAGATTAAGACTTCCCCTCCCTCTCCCCCAGGCCGAAACTTCCTATGAGTCAAGTTTCAATACCAAAGCCCTACTTCAATACTAAACCCTCCCTAAAATGGACCTTATAAAAATTATATTCACAGGATGAAACTAAACTTGCACTGCAATCACTCCCTTCTCCCTCTGTACTTCGCGAAATTCAATCTAAATTGCCCAAGAATTGCTGTAGAGCTCAAGCCTTGGAGGACGAACAGCAATATACGTTCTCCTATGGAATGGATCATTCAACAAATGCCCGTTCAATTGGAAGACGGCGATTATTCTCAATCGAGGGTAGCTATTATGAAGACAATCTTCCAGGCGTGGCTGCACCGTTGGATAGTGATTATGAGTTCAGGACAGCAAGAGAAGATCATCAGCCTCTAAATGAATTGTACAGTCCAACAGAAAATGACAGGAGTAAAGGTACTTCTTTTATGGCTTTTAGAAGCATTGCCTTCACTATAAGATACACCCTTGGATCTGAAAAAAATATAGCTTATATTGAGGTGTATGTTGAATAGGGGGTATCGTTTGAAAAGCTCTTCCATCCAATAGTCTACTGAATTTAAAAGTTGTTTCGTGAATAGGGGGCTATCGTATTTTTGGCAGCTCCCCCACATGATCGTCTACTGAATTGAGGTTATCTTATAGTGGGGGTATCTTATAGTTTATTAAGTGCATCTTATAATTAGGCATTCAATTGACTTTTAAACAGGATATATTTTTGCCGACGGTGCCAAGAGTAGTTCCGGCATCTCTTCAAGTTGTTATACAAGCTCTTCACGGAGTTGCGAGCTTCCAGACTGTGATCAACAACAAAAAACAACCCCACGAGAGAGGAGAAGGTCCCCCCGATTAGACGACTCTTCAATCGTTCCTACACACCGTGCCCAGTTCGAATTTATGCCTAGACATGCTGATGAATTGAGATTAGATCGTGGGGATGCTGTGCATGTAAACGAGAAATTTAATGACCATTGGTGCTTTGGCCTGAATCTCCGTTCAGGCCAACGTGGAATATTTCCTGAAGCTCTAATTGTTGAAATAGATTTGGTGGATGAGATTTGTAAAAAGGTTCTTCCTGAAACTAAAATGAGGTTGGAACGTGATACTTTTTATTTGACAATGCTGGCTTCTGTTGAAGTTGCCCATCACAAGGGAAACGACATTTTGGTTCAGGCGATTAATAAGGTACATATCTTTTGATACACTAAGTGAGGTCCGGAATTTTCTACCATACTGTACTTCATACCGTAATACCGAAGAATACCGAAAAATACTAATGACTGTTGTTAAACCAAACATCGGTCAGTTTCCGGGGATCCCGGTCATTCCCGGGATGCCGTAACGGGATTGAATTTGAAAATTTTGAACAGGACGGGATACCGCGGGATTAATCCCGTAAATCCCGGTAATCCCGTTTGTCGCTAAAAACCCAGGATTCCGGGACGGGATCCCGTAAAATCCCGTACGGGATCCCGTGTCGAGCTCTAGTTTTCGATTCTTAAAATTAAATATTGTCAGGTCTGTTCAATGTATCTACAAAAGGATGAGATCCTTGTACCTCAAACGGTGAGCACCAAAAATTTTTAAAATTATTATTTAATTTTAAAGGTATTAATGGAAATTTCATTCCGTGGAATTCATGTAATTGACAAACGGAAAAAAGACGTAATTTCAAAAATATTTTCAAATTTAAATAAAAAAATTAACAGATATTTCGTTGCCCTACTTTTGACTATTTTTACAGCCTACAGAACATCTCCTTTTGTGGAGCCCACCCAAAAGAATTACGGTAATATCTATTACAGTCGGACCTCGTTTTGAAAAAATTTTAGATTATATGAGGGGTTATCTTAAATTTAATGGGAAACCCGGCCAAAGCCCTAGGTGTTAGATTGGGGGAGTTGTTAGGCTAGGGAGAGTTTAAGTGAATGTTAACCTTGAATCTAGGGTATCTAATAGTCTAATTTTGAGATTATTTTATAACGAGGTCTGAGTACCTTATTCCTCTAATAGAATGCTAGAGCATTTTATTTTTCAATCACCTTCAAAAGGGGTATTCTATTAGAAAGGGGCATTCAATTAAAGGAAATTTAATTCATTCCAAAAATTATTTTCTAAAAAAGGTATTTTGGCTTTATCACCAAACACCCCATTTTGCCTCGCTTCGCTTGCCACGTATTTCTTTCTAATGAATCTACTCAAGCTATTGTTGAAGGTTAATTAAATTTAAATATTTAATTATTTAAATATATGTAGCTATTGGACGTGCTTTTAAACGTTCCTATGATGAGTATATGGCTTTTGCCCATCCAACGGAAGATATTTTCTTAGACGAATAATTTTTCTAAAATCCTTTTATCAATTTGAAAGTTATATTTCAGTCATTCCATTTGGTTAGAATTGTCGGTTTCTAGAAAATCTTCGGATCAGAGGTGTCGGAAATCGGAACTGGCTCGAAAGTCGGAACTTGGAAATCAAATTTTTTTCGAAAATCGGGAGGAAAAAAATGTCGGAACTCGAAATTCCGACCCACCTCTGCTTCGGATACCTAGAACAGAACCGAAGAACCTGACCAGAAACTTCTTCGGTTCGTTGGTTCGCTTTCAAATCGACAACCCTATACCTACATTTGTTTAAAAGTTTTTCTATTTTTGTATAAAAAGTTTAATTAAAAAACTAAAAACAATCTTAATTATTTGAGTTAAGGTTGTTTCCCGCTAGTACGGGAAGGCTTTAGAAAAAATCTTTGGGAAGACATCGCTAAGGAGGGACTAGGAGACGGGAGAAATCCTCAAAAAAATTCTCTCAAATTTTGCAGCCTTCAGGCACGAGTATATAACTGTATTAATTCCCCCGGGTAATTATTTTTTCGATCTCTCGCTGGAGGGGGTTACACCCTAATAATAGAGGAGTGGTAATTATTTGAGGGGGGTACACCTCAACGTACCGCGAGGCCAACGTACCGCAGAGATATAACTTTGTTCAAAATGGTCGAATCCGGGACGCCCTGATATGGTTCGATTCAGCTCGTCAAGATGCATCGAACCTACCAAGGCGTCCCGGATTCGACTATTTTGGCCTACTCCCAATTGATATACGGTAATCCCTGATAAGTACCTAAATATCTACTTTATTATTGTCTGAAATAGTCACGCTCTTGTTTACATTTTAAAGTAATTTTATTTAAATTATTCTTCATTATTATACCAATTTAAGGATTAAACTTAATAATTTAAAAAGGGCTTATTTATTTTTATTTATTTAGCTGTTATTGACAGATTCTCGGACTTTTTTAGAGAGAAAATTTTATTTATTAATTACTCTCTTATTAAATTTTTCTCTCAATTTTATATTTAATGTATGAGTTGGCAATTAGGTAATTAAAGGGTAACCATGGAAATCAACTCTTGTATAATTAATTTTAAAAGTATGAGAATTTAAGATACAATTTCAATTGTAAACAACTTTTCCCTTTAATTGGCAAAACATTTTCAGTCAAAATACCCTCGGGAACGAGTCAAAATACCTTACACCCTATTTTTGTAAAATAAGTTTTTTCGGCTCTACTCTAGTTTATGCGTCCAATTTATTATTTATTTTATTTTATTATTTATTTTACCGACCTTTATGCGTCCAATCAAAAAATAATTAGATTTTTCTTAGTGTTGCAAAGTTGGGGTATGTTACCGAAGCATTTCTTCATGTTCAGGATCTACGTCCACTGGGTCTGGACGCATAATTATTATTGGACGCATAATCTGGAGTAGAGCCATTTTTTCTTACTTTTAAACAGACAATATCATATTTTTGGGTACACCCTATAAGACTTAATACATATAATTAATGATTAAAAAAACTAGCGTTGTTCTCCAGGGATGTGTGTTATGGCGTTTGGCGCATTTAAAATTTTGAAATAATGGCGTTTGGCGTGTCACGCGAAGATTTTGGCGCACATCCCTGTTAATCTCTAGCGAGTTGTTCTCCAGTGAGTTGATCTTTTGGGTTGTCTCGTATTTTAATTGTTAGTGAATTTTTATTGTTTTCTTAGACTATAGTTTTCCGAAAATATTTTTGTATGTTTTGAACTAACATAAAAATTTTTATTTATTTTTTTCTTCCTAAAATTAAATTTCCTTTATAGATTTATTTTTTAATTTTCTTTTTTAAATGCCCCAAGAAATTATGGAGGTTGTGGAGCAAAATCAAACAATTGACTTGACAGCCGATAAAGATGGAGGGGTTTTGAAGACTATAATAAAGTAAGGAAGGGGGGGGGGGTTTGAAAGATATTTTCTTTTTTAAGGCAAGGAATTGATTTAAATAAACATCCGAGGAAAGGCGACACAGTTTTTATTCATTATACTGGAACAATTAAATCAACTGGAAAAAAGTTTGATGATAGCAGAGCTCGTGACCAACCTTTTTGTTGTTCTTTGGGACGTGGACATGTAAATTAAATATAATTTTTTTCTTAAATTTGTCTCTAAGGCCTTTGAAATTATCCAAAATTTAAAGGCCCGCAACTATCCGGAAATAGCTCCATATGGGAAAAAGCCCGAAAATTGGTATAGGAAAGGGTAATTCTTCGATTTAGACCTCCCCCCACCATTTTCCGGAATCTCTGACCATTCTGAGCTTTCCCTGACAATTTTGACTCAGCTCGAAAAGTTCTTTCGAATGATATTTAATTAGCCATAACAAGATAACAGATGCCGCATGGGATTCAGAAAAATGATGGGGAGATCTAAACAAAAAGAATTCCTGAGGAAAGTAGCCAGACTCTATATAATAGGAGCAGAAAAATTTACAAAATTAACACTTACAGTTTGTCTGGGTCCCTTGTTAGTCGAATTCGGGAAGCTAGGGGGAAATTGAAGAAAACATGAAAAGTTTCGAAAAAGAGGGCTCATAATGGTCAAATTTGCCACAAAGTATTAAAAAAAAATTTTTGTCCAATTTTTCTTTTCAGATAATTAAAGCTTTGGATCTTTGTCTTATCACTATGTGCAAAGGTTTTTTTTATTTAAAAATAAATGAAAAAATTTTTTTATTAATGTAGGAGAAGTTGCCCGTTTAGAATGTCTTCCAAAATATGCTTATGGACATTCTGGATCGCCTCCAAAAATTCCAGGAAATGCAACTTTAATTTTCGAGGTATTAAATTAAATTTTTAATTTTATTTTAACTAATTTTGGGCAGAGGTTTTAGTTTCTTTCAATTTTGTTTAAAAGTCAAGGAAGGGATTGGGGCGTGGTACTTTATTAATATCCCACCCCCACCCCTATTTGAGTCTCAGATTAATTTTTATTTTTTACTGTCAATCATCCTTTCCCTCATAAATTTTAAGCAAAAGGCAAGTTAGAAGGAGAAAAATTAAAAATGAGGCATTCTAACTTGTCTTTTTTAAAAACTTGTAAGGAAAAGGATGATTGACAGCAAAAAAGGAAAATTAATCTGAGACTCAAATAGGGGTGGGGGTGGGATATTAATAAAGTACCTGGGGCGTTTGTTATCGTTTAAAGCGTTCAGTTAACATTCAGGCTTTAAAAGAAAAGACAGGGTTCGTCCTCATATCAGTAGTTCAGTTTGTAGTCCACCAAACCCACCATTTAATTTGCTAAAAATTTTTTGTAAAACTCTTCTCTTTTTTTAAGATTGAACTTCTAAGTTTTGAAGGGGAAGATTTAAGCCCTGATCGTAATGCATTAATTACAAAATCAATACTCAAAGATGGAAAAGGGAAATATGATTGTCCTCCTGAACATGGAAAAGTTAGAGGTTTTTTAATTTTTATTTTCTTATAATAAATTTCTTTTCAAGTTCATATTTGTGGAAAAACTGGAAAAGGTAAGATTTGTTTTATTAAATTAATTTTTTAAAAATCCGCAAATTTTGTCCGCAAAAAAATGCAGACAAAATTTTTGCGGATATTTTTGCATCTGTCCGCAGATATTTGCGGACATTTTTGTAATATTTATTTGTCCGCAAAAAATGCGGAAAAAATTTGCGGACGAATTTTGCGGATTTTTTAATTCTTTTGTCCGCAACTTTTTGCGGACAAAATTTGCGGACGCTTATATTAATTTCCCTTTATCTTCTTTAAAAATCCACCTAATTTAGGCGAAAACGAACGCATTTTCTACCAAAAAACGCATTTGGAATATACTTTGGGTGAAGGATTGGAATATGGTTTACCTAAAGGTGTTGACATGTTAGTTGATTTTTTATGGAAATTCTAGAAAATTTAATTTAATTTTTAGAGCAATTCGAAGAATGAATCGAGGGGAAAAAGCAATTGTTACTTTAAGAGGACATTTTGCCTACGGATTAGACCCGCCCCCATATTATCAAATTGATAAAATGGCTGAAGTGAATTTTACAATTTTCCTTAAAGGATATGAAAAGGTTTGGAAATTTTTGTTTGAAAATAATTTTTTAAATTTTTGTGAGGATACCTTGAGTCAGTAGAATTTTTTAAAATTTTTTTTTGAAATTTTCTAATAGGGGAACCACTCGAACGGTGAGTAGAAAATTTTAAATACCATCGTGCTTATTGTCAGCAGAAAAGCCAGAAATTGGCAATAGGTTATCGACCATACTCTACACGATGGTATGCTTTTTATTTAAAAATTTTTAATCACAGTTTGAGTGGTTCCCTGTTCGATTTATTTGAAATTTTTTTGGATTTTTTTGAAAATCTTTGAATTTTTGTCTTAAAAATTTTTTAAAATTTTTTTTTGAAATTTTCTAATAGGGGAACCACTCGAACGGTGAGTAGAAAATTTTAAATACCATCGTGCTTATTGTCAGCAGAAAAGCCAGAAATTGGCAATAGGTTATCGACCATACTCTACACGATGGTATGCTTTTTATTTAAAAATTTTTAATCACAGTTTGAGTGGTTCCCTGTTCGATTTATTTGAAATTTTTTTGGATTTTTTTGAAAATCTTTGAATTTTTGTCTTAAAAATTTTTTAAAATTTTTTAGAATTATTTTTATATGTATTATTTTTTAATTTTTAGATGAGAGCAAATTGGGAATTAAATGATGAAGAAAAACTTGAAAGAGCCCAAAATTTTAAAGATTTGGGAAACGAATTTCTTAAGGCTGGGAAATACAATGTTGCTTTAAATAAGGTTTTTTCTTAAATTTTTAATTTTCATTCGTTCTTTCAAAGTATTCTGCAATAATTTATTTAATGGAACATGCAAAATCTATGAAATCTGAAGAAAAAGGAGGGAAGGAAATGGCTGAGAATTTTCAACAAATGTTCTTTTTTGGTTTGTTAAATAGTGCTCTAGCAAGTCTGAAAATGGGAGATACACTCGAGGCTATTAAATTTTGTGACAAAGTTTTGGAGAAAAATTCGACGAATGTTAAGGCATTGTATCGAAAAGCACAGGTTTTTTTTATTTTCTAAAAAATTTATTTTTTTCAACATTTAGGCCTATCAACAAAGACAGGATTACGACGATGCTATTAATTATTTTAAAAAAGTTTTGGAAATTGAACCAGAAAATAAAGGTTTTTATACAACTATTTTGAAATTAAAAGACACGGGGCATGCCAGTCTACTTTTGGAATTGACTAAACGTAAAAGTCACATCAAATTAGATTGATTTTACCACCATTCATCGCAGAATAAGAAACTCGACCTTTGGTCAAATGCAAGGGCGCAGCCAGTTCCCTATTTCAAGAGGACTCAGAAGCCCCCTTGGCTACCTCTTGGTCAAATGGTAGACGAAAAGTCAAGTTATCCGAACTGACTTTTCAACCCGGCCCATCCCTAGTAGCAAGAGTTGATCGAATGTCGAGCAAAACTATTGGGTTGTAACTTAATTTCCTTTTTTATTATTTTTTAAGCTTCTGCTCAACAAATTATTGAATGTAATAATCAAAAACTTGCAGTTGCTGAACATCAACGAAAAAAATTTAAAGGAATGTTTGGTTAATTATAAGAGAGAGATATACAAAAAGAAGGGGGTATTTTAAATTAAAAAAAGAGCTTTCTCTTCAACTTTTTTTGGGCATTTTTTGGTTTCCATAATATTTTTTTGGTTGACTCTTATCACTAGTCATAAATTAATATATTTAAATTATTAAAACATGTTGCCGTTCAAATTTATTTTCCAAAAAAAACCTTGTCTTTAATCTCCTTGGATCAAAAATTTAGCCGACATAACTTATAAATTCTAGATCTCGAGAGTCGGGATTTCCTAACACAAAAAATTTCAGTAATTCCCGATTTTCGAGAATCGGGTCGACTCGATCTGCCCTGGATTATGCAAATAAATTTTTGTTTTATAGTCTATGGCCATTTAAAATTCTATACATTACAAGGGTGTAGTCAGTGGACCTTTGGGACAGGACCTTTAAACCCTCTGAAATCCGACCCTGAATACGCTCTTACAAATTAATCCATTAGCTAATTTATAAAATTTTGGATGGTTATTGTGGTTTTTCTGGAAATTTCTTTTAAATTAATTGAATTTCACATTGATATACTCTTCTCTAAGGTTGTCGGTTTCAAACCGAGCCGATTTTTCGATTCGAAAATTTTGAAAAAAAATTCCAAACCAAAAACCCGAAGATTTTTGGTTTCGGTTAACATATAAATCTGGTGAAAAACCGGCAACCCCTTACTCTTCTCTCTCTAAATTTATGTAAAAAATATTTTTTTTCTTTTTGGGTAAATTTTAAAAATAAAATTTTTTAAAATTAAAATTCAAAATAATTTGGAGGAGTTTCACATTCATTTTCGTAATAATCAAAATTTTTTTCGTTTCGTATTTCTGCTTCAGAAGCGCAATCATCAAACATTTCTGTTAGGGCATAAGAGTGGGGAGGTTGAAGTAAATTAAATTGATTTATTTGGTTAGTTGGTGAAGGGTTGATAATTGGAGACCAACGACGTTTACGTGAATATTGGTCCTTAAAAATTAATTTTTCTTTTGTAAGCTAATAAGGAAGAAGGGTGATCCAGCTAACATTATGCTTACTAGAGTAGGGAAATTAAAACCTTAACCTTGATTTTTGATTGTAAAGCATATAGCTATTTAATTCCTAAGGCTGTGTAGTAGGCGGCGTGGTGTAATGATAACACATCAGTCCGGTCTACTGAAGATGCTGGTTCGCCCCCAGCGCCGATTAACCTTTTGCACTAGCTAAAGGAGAGAAGCAGCTATAGGCCAGCTGCTTTACTTGATCTTGACCAGATCCTTGACCTTCAGTCAAGGAACATTGAAAAATGCCAGATTCTTTACACTGGATTCAGGGAAAATCAAGGCCTGGATCCATATTTAGGTCAATCTCTACCGCTTACTAAGCAGCGCCCCGGTAGCTCAGTAGATGTTGAACGAGTAACTGTCAGGAGGTCGTTGGACCCTAATGCCTGCCCTAACCTATCTCTTGCTAAAAATTTTTAACCTCACGCCATTTTGTCCATTCAGTTTGTGTGTAAACATTTTTCTTATTTTTTTGTTTTGTCTCCTTTTCTTTTTCATTATTTTGTTCATAATTAGTTAATGCTGGTTGTTGAATTAATCCAACGGGGAAACAACCAAACAAACTTGTCAATAAAGGGCTTCCCCCAAGCGTAGAAAATGTTTGGGCAAAACGGAGATTTTCGCTCATTGAATTTGCGAGCGCCTAATTTTTAGAAATTATTATTTTTCTTCTAAAAATAGTCGAAACCTCATCAGACCCTCATGGAGCTAAAAAATCATATCCAATGACGGGGGAATGCCTCTTAAAATACCTCTTAGAAAGAGGGCGCCTTAATAATGATATTTTAAAATAGAGAGTATCTCTTAGCCCACCCACCAAATGTTGAAAATCATATCTTAAATAGAAAGTATTCCTTATAAGGAGGTTATCTTATATAGAGGGTATCACTTTCGCAGCCCCTCCCAGTCACATGGTCTAGAGACCTGATTATAGACCTGATCGAGACGAGATCTCAATTCTCGTACGACCCCCTTCTCCTCTCAGTCCGATCTCTAGTTAAGATATTGGCTTTATCTTATTGTGAGGTTCGACAGTATATTTAACTAAATACCGTAATTATCGGCAGATAAAGCAAAATGTTTCCAAAAGTAATATTTGCATTACAATTCTGCCGATATTCCTTTAAATTAAAAATATTTTTGAATTTTTAAATTCAAAAATACTTTAATAATTTGAAATAAAGTTGTGTATATTCTATCCCGTAAAGAATAAATTTTGTTTGAAGCAACTTCTGATAAGTCCCTTGCCACTTAAGAACAAATAAGTTAGACTTGTATTTTCAAAAAAACAAACTTGGATTGAGCACGAGAATGGCAGAAACACAAACATAAAAATCGAAAGAAAATTTTAAAAAATCTTTAAAAATTTACAATTTCCTCTTCGCTTAAATGAATTCTACGGAAAGGTGTAACAAGTTCATTAAGTAAACGATCCACTAAACCGTTGTCGAGATGGCTAAAATATAAGGGGAATGGACAACTTTATTTCTGAAAGCTGGTGTACCTTGTTATAAGAAATCCCTTTGGGCTTAAAAATAGGTGTCTTATAATGAGATGTTTGTTAAATAGAGGGTCTTATAATCTTATAATGAATGGTATCTTAAATAGAGGGTATCATATGAGGGTATCCTAAAACCTTATAATGAAGTGTATATTAAATAGAAGGGTAACTATAATGAGATTTATGTTAAATAGAGGAGTACCGCCTTGTCAGCTCCCCCACCCAATGTCCATACCTAAAACTTTAAAGAAACGTATCCTAACCGGGTATATTTTTTAACCTATCTTATAACGAGGTGCATCCATAATAGATTTAAAAAATTCATACTAGGCATCATTATAAGCTTTGCTAATATTTCGAGGGACATAAGCAAAATTGCAGAGGCAAAGCATATCTTCATTTTGAGTAACAACTGCTGTACGGGCAGAACATTTGAATAAAGTTAAAGGTCCAAAACAAGATTTAACAAGAGAAATTCTTCAAAAAAGACTTGTATTATTCACCCCAACCCCCTCCCTCCCTACCTATCTTCAATAGACAACCCTCCAACTCTATCAGCCAAAGCCTCTACCCAATCTACAGCTGCAATTAGACGACGATACACAACAACGAAAAATTCTTCGTTCTTGGCCATTCTATAGGGTTCATAGCGCATCTTTTTATGTAAAATTTTATTTGTCAATAGAAAACTGACCCACAAGGTCATCGCTGCATTAAGCTCTGGGCTTCTATTTTTAACAGGTCCCATTGAACCTGTTCATAATCGAGATCGGCTTCCATTGGTGAATATCTCAATCGAAAAAGCCGACGAGCTGAGTCGAACGACACCAAAATTAGTCCGTGCAGACAACTGGGAAGAGAAATAGGGCTCGAAATGGTCAAAAAACAGAGGTGAGTTTCAGCTCTATTTTGTGTCACTCGACTCAGCTAGTGAGCTCTTTCGATTGAAATATAGAATGTCCCATAATAAAAACCCCGGAAAATATAGTTTAGCCAAGTATTTAAATGGTTTTTCAGGTTGATCGCTAGCGGGTTGATCTTGTGGGTTTCCCTTCTAAAGTGCAAAATTGATTTCTCACCTCCGTTCGCCTTCCCATCAATTTTTTAGGTTCTTCAATAATTTCTCTAATTGTGTTTATTCGTAATGGGTAAATGTCTGCAGCATCATGGGTAGTGTCTCCATGGACAACCTTTGAAAAAAAATTTTTTCTGATTTTTTTTCAAAAATTTTTTAAAAATTTTTGAAATTTTTTTTTCTCTGAAAAAATCCTTGAGAGAGATCTATAAAATTGCGAACAAAATTAAAAATTTTCGGCTTTTTGGGAGAGAAGAGAACACAACTTTTGCTTCAATATTTTGTAGAGTCATTAGCATTGTGCGCAAATCAACAGGCAATTTTTGACTTAAATTTTTTGTCTTCTCGTTAGTCACGTCGTTGTTATTGTTACTTGTTTTTTCATCAATTGAACTTAAACGTCTGCGAATTGGTGAAAGTGAAAATCGATGTGTTTCTAATTGTTGTTTTCCGGTTAGTGAACGGTCAGGGCGAACAGCTGTATTTTTTAGGAATATAGTTGGAGCTCATTATAAGAGACCCTCTTGGGGGGAAAACTATCGTACCTTATTAATGTAGTGTATCCTAAACAGGGCTGCATGCAAGTGAAAAGAGTTTTTGCAACTAGTAATTGCAAAAACCTCCCGCAATTTACTCAATCCACAACTCGCAATCCGCAATTGCGTGTAGCCCTGATCCCAAATAAGGGTTAAGGTAACTCAAAATTGGGTTGGTCACATTGTGGAGGAATGTATAGGCAATACCCTCTATTTAATAAACACCTCACCCTAAGATAAACCCAATAAGAGATACACTTCTTATACCCTCAATACTAAGCACCTCCTATCTAAAATGCACTGGGTGGCAGTTTAAGGGATACCTTCTATTTAATATACACCTCGTTATAAGACTTGATTTTTCTAGCCCAAGATTTTTCTAGCTCCAACCTTCTCTAAAAGAAAATAGAATTACCAGCAGGATCCATTCCAACATCCAAACATTTTTGGAGGCGACAGGCTCGGCAAGAAGTTCGTTCATCTTATCAAAATTTAATTTAAATTTACACTAAATATTCCCCCTACTTTTATCAATAATACAATTATTGTTGTGAAAGCATTCATATTCGTTTAATTTTTTGAGTGCTCGACGGAAGAAACCCTTTTTTAGAAGGAAAAAATAATTTTTCTAATTTTTAATTGAAACAGAAACGTTTACTTTACATCCAAGACAAGCCAAAACGCCATAATGCATTTTTGGATTTTCTTGTCCACAAACCAAACATTTGGGGGCGTTTTTCTGTATTTTTTAGGATTAATTTTAATATTAAATTAAAAAAATAGACTATTGTTGATGTTGAAGCCTCATTTGAAGGTTGTTGGGTAGTCTGATTATTAGTTTGCATTTTTAACAGTTTTAGAAAAAAGATATTAAGTAAATATTCTAATAGACGCCCATCTCTATTAAAAGTCTTTATTAAAAATTAACTATTCTAATAAACGCCCATCTCTATTAGAAGTCCCTATTAAAATTCTAATAGACGCCTGTCTCCAATAAAAGTCCCTATCAAAAATTAAATATTCTAATAGACGCCCATCTCTAATAAAAGTCACTATCAAAAATTAAATATCCTAATAGACGCCCATCTCTAAAAAATTAACTATTCTAATAGACGCCCGCCTCCAATAAAAGTCCCTATTAAAGATTAAATATTCTAATAGTGGCCCATCTCCATTAAAAGCCCAAAATTTAACCCCGGGCGTTTATTGGAATAAAAATTTTTTTCTAATTTATGGCCAAAAGTTTATGGCCAAACTTGTGTAAAAGATAAAGATTAAATAAAATATAAAAGAGAAAAAGATTTTGTTGAACTCTCCAAAATATAACGCGGTACATAAAATATTTTTAAAATGTCTGCCGAATAAAACAAAATCAAAAGAATAATAACAATAAAAAAAAGTTTTTTTATTGTTGATATAAAAATCACGAGAGATGTTTAAATAAATAATATTTTTATTGAACTACATATTTTATTAATTTTTGGAGTAAATAATAACAGAATTTTTAGCTGTATTTGAAACGTTTAAAACGTGTAAATATTGATGGGAAATAAAAAATTATTTTTTTTGGAAAAGACAAAAGTGAAAAAAAATATTTTCTTATCGATGACAAGTTAAATATTTCTTGGGGGAATTCAAAATTTTTTTAAAAATTTTTCCTGAGAATTTATATAAAGTTTCTGAGATTTAACTAGCAAATCCAACATCCTACCGTATTTTCTCGATTAATTCCCCTCCCTCGAATAATTCCCCCTCTCGATTAATTCCCATGCTAGAGTTGGGTTGAAATAATAATTCCCCGCCCCCAAATACCTTACTGCACGTTCAAATGCCAAAACTCGAAAAATTTCCCTTCCCTCGATTAATTCGCCATGTCAAGGTTGGGTTGAAAAAATAATACCCCAGGGGAATTAATCGAGAAAATACGGTATATCGAAAATCTTAAATGATTTTGTTGATTCCAAATTTGTTGCTTCCAATTAGATTAGAAGGAGAGCTAATCAAAATAAATTTCAAAATAAAATTAATGCTCACAACGATAAAAAACGATTTTTGAATTCACTTAAAGGGACGACGACTATTTTGATAAATCAATAAAATAAAAATAAAAATTACTATTTAATAGTATTAAATATTAAATAATGAATGTATTTTTGCAATTTTTAAAAATATATTTATTGATTTTAATTTTTATAAAATTTGATTAAAATAATTTGTTGACTCTATTTAAATAAAAAATAATTCATAACTTAATGCTCACAACAATTTTAGTTGTTCCAGTTTTTTTTTATTTATTCAAAATTAAAAATATATCAATGAAAGGGGGAACAGGGATGATCGAAATAAAAATTTTTTCCTGTTTCGTTTCGCAACGAAATGGAAAAAGGGCACGAAAAAGCGAAACGAAACGAAATTTCGATCATCTCTGGAGGGGCAGGGGGGCTGATTTTGATATCATTTGACCCATCTCGGAGAGTTCTTTCGATTGATATATGTATAATAGACTATATGCCAAGTAAAAAACTCAAAATTGTTAGGGAAACAAAAAAAGAGGTCGGTCAGCCAAACTATTATCACATTGGTTGACTTTGGAATGCCTTTAGAAGAACAAAAGGATAATTTAAAGTTCTCGTTTCACTACACATTTTTAAACAAATTTAAAACACTATTCAGTAAGAATCTTGCCTTACATATTTTATTTTTTGAGAATATATTTAAGTCTTTTGTTGATATATATGCCAGAACAATTAAAAGTAGAAGCATATTGTGAAGCCATTGATTTTGAATTTGATTTACGAAAAGAATCATTAATCTCATCAGACATTAAACTAAATTGGTCGAGTGCTAGATCAATAGTAACATTATTAAAAGATTTATTTCCAATATCCATCTCTTTATATCTCAATTTGAATAATTGTCTAACTTGGGGGAAGTATTTGTCTAAAGTTTCTTCAGCAACAGTAATATCCTCAGGCCAAAATAACGAATTCCCAAGTTCAGTCGAAGAATAGAATTTTATCTGTTCTTGTAAATAGATTAAAGTTTTGTTGTTTTTATCCGTTAAATTGGGTTGGGGTCATAAGGGCGCGGGGCCATTAGGGCGCCAGCACTAATAACTGGCACTTAGGCGAAACCGAAATTTATGAAAATTTTCTCAAATTTCTTTAACATCATTGACTACCTCCTCCAGAAATTTCAGAATTTTTCATCGAATATTTCTGAAGTTATAGTCGATAAACCGCGAAAAATTAGGGTTTTTTCGGAAAATAAACATTTTTGGCCACAATTTCCGAAATTCTTGATCAAAAATTCTGAAACTTTTGGAGAACGTAGATAAAGGCATGAGAGTTATTATTGCAAAGTTTTATCTTTTTTGATAAGCAACTCACTGTTTTATAAGCTCGCGCCCTAGTGGCCCCGCGCCCTAATGGCCCAGTCCCGTTAAATTCTCATCTTTAAATTCCTCTTTCACAATTTTCATTAAATCTATTTTTTGTTCTTTTAAATTGAAGCAATGACGAATTTCGTTTAAGCCAATTTGCTTGATACCATGATCGAGAAGAAGAGTTAAAAACCAAGCGACAAGCCCAGGCTTTAATTTGCACGAGTAAAATTCTTTATATTGTGTACTAGATATACAGTAATTCGAAATTTCATTCAATAATTTGTGATAAATTTTTGTATAATTCAAAATTTGGGTTTCTAAAATATTTGTTTGGGTTGTTAAAAAAACATTTGTTGAGGCGTTTGTAGTATTTTCTGAATGAAAGGATCATTATTGTTTGATTTAAAGTAGAGTTGGGATGTATCGGGATTAAAGACCGGACTGGGAGTATCGTAAGAGAATCGAAACCTCGATAAATATTGATTCTCGATAATCGAGATTTTTCATCGAAATCTCGTCTTCGATCATAAAATAAATATTTTGGAATGATGATGCCGATCCTGATCCCAGCCTCGGTATTGAGATTTGTTTCTCGGTAACAGTATCAGAAAAATCGGTATTGGGATTCAAATAACCTTTGTAATACCGCCCGATACCGGGTGGGATCCCAATACCGTCCAACTTTAATTTAAAGTTATATCCTTATGGAATATTAGAAAGTAATTTTAGACTTAATTTATAAATAAATTTCAAATTAATAAAAAAATAATCTAAATTCATAAAGATTCTCGAGAAAATAATTTAATTATTAAAAAAAATACCGTTAAGGCTCAAGTTAACTTTTATATTCAAATTTATAATGGTGAGAATAAATAGCAATATTTTAATAAACATATTATTTAAAAGCTCCGACTAATTTTACAAATTGCATGGAATGATAAAATTAATATTGAAAATAAACGGGTACAGCTCAAAAAGGCGCGCGCCATAAAGCGAAAAGTCTCAACTAGCTGGAAAATTTCTAGCCCTTATCAGTTTTTGATACCAATCTCTTTAGCTCGATGAGTGGAATCGTTTAATATTAAATTTGCTACGATTTGGAAATCTTGAAGTAAGTTATGGCTTTGCGCCGTTATGGCGCGTGGCCTAAAATAGTATTTACTAGATATGTAAATTTAGGTCAATTAATTGTCTGCGGTAGAAGAGAAGGAGGGCGCTGTTGTCCATTTTTTTATTTTCACATTTGTATAATTTTATTTAATAAGAGGATATACAACTTTGCTAATCAAAAAATTTTCCAAATTTTCATAAGTTATAAACGATTTAGACAAAACAGCAGCAGAAAATAAAAAGATTTTATAATTTAAAATTTAATAATTATTGAAATAAGAATATTGATTTTACTGACCCGTCTTATTTTTTTGTAAAATTTGATCAAAATGATTTGCTTACTCTATTTCGACAAAAGAAAAAATAATTAAAAATTTTTTAAACAATACATAATTTATCATTTAAATAAATTTATAAAAGTGCGTCTCAAAACAAATTTTTAGTTGTTTTGGTAAATTTGACTTTTTTTCAAGGGTAGTTTGTTATTTTGAATTTACAATGCTTAGTTTTAAGGAATTTATTCAGGATTTTACCTAACTTGGACCCAATTAAACTTTTTAGAAGTAGTCTTTTAATAAAAATATTAAATTTTTGTCCTTATTCTTTAAATTTAGGATCTATAACCCTAATAATCTATTATCGACGAAAACCGTGAGACGATGATTTGGATGATGTAAAGTTTACCAAAATTTATATTAAATCAAATTAAAAAATCTCGCCTCAAAATTGTGAATTACTTTTTTAATTATTTTTAAGGATACTCCTCGCAGAGTTTTCGGTCAAGCAAGAGAAGAACGAAGAGGGTTGGGGGGCCGAGGTGGAAGGCCAACAAGTCGTCTAAATTTGAATGCAATTAGGAATCAGCAAGGGCAAGGAACAAGTCGAAACGCGAGAGGTTTAAATTAAATATTTATAAAATTATAATTTTTAATTAAAAAATAATATTTTTAATTTATATTGTCCTATTATTAAAAATATTATTTTTTAATTAAAAATTATAATTTTATATATAATTAATTTTAACCATTAGCATTCCGGCTTGTTCCCTGTCCCTGATTCCTAATTACATCAAGATTCAGACGCCTAGTTGGCCTCCCTCCACGTCCACCCAATCCTCTTCGTCCTCCTCTCGCTCTTCCAAAAACATTACGTCTATTTTGGCCTGGATTATCCTTAAAAATAATTAAAGAATTAATTCCAGAATTTTGCTGCGATTTTAAAATTAAATTAATTTATTATAAATTTTGATAAACTTTACATCATCCAAATCATCATCTTCATCAAGACTCGGATTACTTGGATTAAATGTCTGAAATTTTAGGAATAAAAAAAAAATTAAAATTGCACTCAGTGAATTACATTAATTTTTAAATTCAAACAGATTTTTTACTTTAGATCAATGCGAATAAATTAAATTCACTAAGTGCATGAACAAAGAAGTAAATTACTCTTCCATGTTGATGATCATATTTTAAAGAAACTTCAAATCTCCCACCGGGAAGCCTTCTCATTCGCATGCGCGCCGGACAAGGAGGATCCAGCCCAGGTATCTCCTGAAAATTTTTTACAACAGTTTCTAAAGCATGAGAGTACAGCCCAAAACGACACGGGCCAATCGAAACGGCGCAACCCCAAAACGTTGCAAACCCTTATTACAAAATTTGTTTATTAATTCTATTGATCAGTGTAACGTCCAAAGAGCGGTTAGTGACTCGTGACCGCTCGCTAAAGCTAAAACGATCACAAATAGGGATTAACCGATTACGCATTAATAAACTGATCACCATCTGTTGAGCAATTGATTACTCTCAGATTAACACTGTTAATTGGGTGACTTGCGCCGCTTTGGGTCTGCATCGTTTCGTTAGTCGGTGCGGTTAATCTGACAAATGAGAGTAATCAATTGCTCAATTTTCAGGAGATACCTGGGCTGGATCCTCCTTGTCCGGCGCGCATGCGAATGAGAAGGCTTCCCGGTGGGAGATTTGAAGTTTCTTTAAAATATGATCATCAACATGGAAGAGTAATTTACTTATTTGTTCATGCACTTAGTGAATTTAATTTATTCGCATTGATCTAAAGTAAAAAATCTGTTTGAATTTAAAAATTAATGTAATTCACTGAGTGCAATTTTAATTTTTTTTTTATTCCTAAAATTTCAGACATTTAATCCAAGTAATCCTAGTCTTGATGAAGATGATGATTTGGATGATGTATTGTTTATCAAAATTTATAATAAATTAATTTAATTTTAAAATCGCAGCAAAATTCTGGAATTAATTCTTTAATTATTTTTAAGGATAATCCAGGCCAAAATAGACGTAATGTTTTTGGAAGAGCGAGAGGAGGACGAAGAGGATTGGGTGGACGTGGAGGGAGGCCAACTAGGCGTCTGAATCTTGATGTAATTAGGAATCAGGGACAGGGAACAAGCCGGAATGCTAATGGTTAAAATTAATTATATATAAAATTATAATTTTTAATTGAAAAATAATATTTTTAACAATAGGACAATATAAATTAAAAATATTATTTTTTAATTAAAAATTATAATTTTATAAATATTTAATTTAAACCTCTCGCGTTTCGACTTGTTCCTTGCCCTTGCTGATTCCTAATTGCATTCAAATTTAGACGCCTTGTTGGCCTTCCACCTCGGCCCCCCAACCCTCTTCGTTCTTCTCTTGCTTGACCGAAAACTCTGCGACGATTGTGGCCAGGAGTATCCTTAAAAATAATTAAAGAAGTAATTCAAAATTTTGAGGCGAGATTTTTTAATTTGATTTATTATAAATTTTGGTAAACTTTACATCATCCAAATCATCGTTTAACGGTTTTCGTCGATAATAGATTATTAGGGTTATAGATCCGAAATTTAAAGAATAAGGTAAAAAATTTAATATTTTTATTAAAAGACTTCTTCTAAAAAGTTTAATTGGGTCCAAGTTAAGTAAAATCCTAAATAAATTCCTTAAAACTAAACCTAACAGCTCATGGAATATTCTCACATAAAAATTAATTCTGAATTTCATAAAAACTATAAAATGTTTTACCCCTCCCACCCGCCACAAAACAACTAAAAATAATTTTTAAAATAAAACAAAAATATAATTAAAACAAAAAAATTTTAAATTACGGATCAGTCACGCTTGTACATGTAAAGATAACCAAGAGATTTCGGCGGATTTTGAGATATTGCAACCTAAAGAAAAAAATTATTTTAAAAAATTTAAGGACAAATTTTTGGAAACTGTTTTTAATAATAACTAAATACGAGCTCATTTAATAGCTCAAAATTTTTCTCCCGAGAAAATTAATTATTCATTTTAAATAAATTTTTATACCTTTTCATCGTTGAAGATATACCATAAACCATCATCTCGTTTAACATGAGCAACATAATGACCAGAATGTGGAGACGAACCCATATGAGAAATAAAAGCACAAAGTTTGTATTGCCCTGAACCATTATGTACTTCTTTGGGAGGAAGACCTTTAAAAATAATTTTAAAAAATTTTAAGAAAAAGTTTGAACCGAAATAGAAAAGTTAAAACCGGTTTTAGAACCGAAAATTCTGATATTTTTTGGGAAAAGTAATCATTTTATGAAAATTTTTAAAACAAGAAAACATAAAAATGATCAATTTTCTATAGAAATTTCCAAAAATAGAATCAGTATTTAACAAAACCTTAACCTAATGCATTGAATGATACCAAGTTGTGTCTACCCCTAGTTTGTTATAATAACATAAAATCAAAATTCCTAATTAAATATTAACCTTTAGATTCAGTAGGAGCCCCTGTTGATTGAGAAGGAAGTGGTTCGTTTAAATCCGCATCATCCATATGTTGTAATATCCAATTAGCTGCACTTTCGAGTCCTGCATTTTTTGTATGAATAGAAGCCTTTATTGATGCATTTTCAGTAAAGCCCATATCCATTAACTGAAATATAAAAATGAATGAGAAATTTTAGAATAAATATGGCTAGTCAAACTAAATTATTTAAATGACGTAAACATTGGAAAATATAAACATAGGACTCCAATATTATAACTATCCCATAAATAAATTTGGTCGAAAAAAACAACAAGTCACAAAAGCATGAGATCAATAAATCAAAAAATTAGAAAATCTAATTTTTACGTCTAAACAATTCTAAACCTGTAAAACAATCTCTTGGTTCACATCTGGATTCACATCAGGAAAAGGTTGTTCATCTGGTTGAATTTTCCCTTCAGAATAAAAAGCAGTCAAATCAATAGAATCATCCATTTCAACATCCACATCCAATTTTTTTATTTGATAGTTGTCAAGGTAAGTGAATCTCTGAAAAAATAAATGATATTAACTAATAATTCATAAGTAAAAAAACCTGAATTTGTAGAATCAAAAAGTCTGGAAAACTGCCCATTTTTAGCTCTTGAATAGCTTTGCCTTTTGTTTTTAAAACTGGAGAAGTATAATCATCAATATTTTCTTGAGAAAATGCTTTTGATAAACAGCTTTGTAATTGAACAAATTTGCGAGTAGAACCACCAACTTGGACTGGAGACTTGAGATGAAAAAAATTTTAAGAAAATTTCAAAGGAGAGAGGATTGTCCATAGTAGGGAATAATTGATTTAATTTTCAATGAGAAAAATTTTTAAAAATTATGTTCTCCTAGAAATCTGCAAAAAAATTCTGGTAAACCCCAAAAGACAAGAAAGTGACATTCGGTTAAATATAACTTCAAAAAATTTAAAAACAAACGTCTCTGCATTCTTGTAAAGGCACAGGTAAAGCAAGTATAGTTTCTTCTCTCTTTGAGTATCTAACACATCCAGACAATTCATCCACAAAACGGGACACAAGGTAAAATCGAAAAGAATTCACAGGATTTAATTCTCCTTTCACATTGTTGTCAATTTTGTCAAATAAATGGCGAATATATTCTTCTGCATCTTGTTGTTTTGCTGTAGAAAATTCAACATGTCCACGTCCTGCTAAACGTCGAAAAACTAATGGGCGTATTCCATTTTCTTTTTGCCCTTCTTTTGAATATTCACCAGATTGTAATGATTTGACAATTTTTGCTAATTGACAATTGAAGTCTTCATAAGAGTTTAAAGGTGAAACTTTGTTGAATAAATTTTCCGAATTATCTCCGTAAACTTTCAAAAAGTCAGGTACGTTGTAAAGCATTTGTAACACCTATAAAATAAAAAATAATTTGATTTTAGGTAAAATATGCTTGTATTCATATCCCTCTCCCCAAGAAAACCCATAAATTAGGAGCAGAACCGTTTCGGTAATAAACAAGAATTTCAGTAATTAAAAATGCTAACGCCTCCAAATCCCAATCCAAAATAAAGTTTAAAAATTATATACCGAATTAATGTAGCAAGAAGAGCCCAAATTAATCAATCCAGTAAAACCAGAGCCATAAACATTTTTTAAAGACGCTCCCTCTTCTTGAATAGTAGAGAATTCATGTCTAAAAAATAAAGAAAAATAATTTTTTGAAAATTAGAAAAATATACTTAAGATTTGCATCCAACTCCAATTCAAGTGTTGTTTTCTCAGTCTTGGTAAACTTGTCAATAGAAAGTCCAAAATGTGCCAAATGTTTTGCTAACAATGGATCACGAACAGGCGCGTCTTCAGAATAACTGTAAATATCCCCATCACCATCCGCAATTGTACCCAATTTGACAACCAAAGGATAACCAGTTTCTTCGTAATGAGTTTTCTAAAAATTAAAAAAATAATACAAATTGATTTCTTTATCTAGAATCAGATTCGAGACCCTAATCCAAATTCAACTTGGCTATGTCAGAGAATTAACTCTCTCTACTAAAGCTTTATGAATCTAGGATTCTGATTAGAATAGTCTGTGTGAAACTACTAGATTATGACACAATTAGGGAAGAAATGAGCCTCCCAACCAGATTAAGGAGTGTCGCTAAATTAGATTGACAAAGAAAAAGCTAACACTAAATATATAAACTAACTGCATGTCCATTCCCTTTAACGCCACTCATAGGAGCATATCGTCCGCACATGATAATACCATCACTCAGATTTAACCACAAATTCTCTTTAAGTTCACAGCCAGGCTTGGCACAAATCCAACCATCATAAGAAATTTTGCCTTCAAATGGAATCTGAAATTAAAGATTGAAAGCTAAATAAGGCGTGAATAAAAGCACAAGACAATCAATACGTAAACTCGAAGCCTATCCTAGGAGCCCAAAAAGTCTGCTTTACATTCCCTATAGACCAAATAAGGTCGATTATGTTTTGGCTAATCCACTATTGTAGTCCACAGTTGGAGTTCAAGTTGGAGCTTCAACTCCAGAGAACTAGGAGAACTTAGATTTGCCTAGGACAAGTCCTCTAAACAGAAAGGGCCAAGTTAACCAAACAAAAACCTGTTCAAGCTTTTCGGCTGCCTTTGAAATCTGCCGTTCTTCTCCATCCCATTCACTGACGCCGCTCTGTAAGCGTTGTTGCAGTTCGGCACTAATATGAGCAATAACCATATCCACAATTTCCCGAAGCTTGTCTCCAATATCATTTTCAATTTTGATTGGAACATCAGTATGTGGATGCAAACAAAGGCTGTAGTCTGAACTAATTTTGTCTTCTGTTTGAGATATGCATAAGCGTTGAATCTCAAATAAGCCAAAGTTAAGGAAGAACAAAAAAACTTTAAAAAACCTTATCCTTCGGCTCCTCAGAATCCTCATTAGGCACTTTAGACTTCTTAATGTTCAAAAACAAACGGAATGACGTCTTCTTCACATAAATGTCAAGATGTTTTGCGCAAACGCCAACAAAATCCAACAAAGAAATGAAGAGTCCACCTAAAAGTTGAGAGTAAAAGGCTTTGAAAAAGTTAAACCTGGCGAAAAAGCAGTGTCAAAACACAAGAAACACTCATCTTTGTAGACTTTATCGGCACTTTGCGGCCCTTCCAATTTAAAAGAACCCCCCGAAATATATTTTTTCAATTCAATTAAAAGATTTTCTTCGGTCATCTAAATTTATAAATTTTTACGTAAAGTCGCGAAAATTAGTGCCCGGGAGTAAAAATTACTTTAAAGTAATAAAAAACATAAAATAAAATGAAAGGGAAGCAAAAACAACAAAAAAATTTAAAAAAATTTGAAAAAAACGGCATAGATTCCCCGTCTGTAGCGTAAAGTCTGATTCAACAAATTTGGCTTTTATAGTAAAAAATAATCATAATTTTAAAATTTGCGGATTTTATTTTGGCATAATGTATTTTTATTAGTCATTTTCTCTTCCAACACTCATTGTTTACGTTATATTTTTTATTTTACTTATCAATTTTTATCGTTGTGAAATTTCTCCTCTTGTCTCGCCCTCTTATATTTTTTGTACTCTCTTACATTTTGTGTTTCTTTCCGTTTTTTGCGCGCTCAAATCGGTGGTACAACCCAAAACGGCGCGCGGCCATAACGGCGCAAAGCTATAATTTGCTGAAAGATGTCTGACCCTTGTCAATTTTGGTACCAATCTCCCTAGCTCGATGAGACGAATCGTTTAATACTAAATTTGATAAGATTAGTTAATCTTGAAGCAATTTATGGCTTTACGCCGTTATGGCCGCGCGCCGTTTTGGGCGTGTCCCGCGCCGTGAAATTGTTAAAAATGAATGTTTTTGAGGCAATTTTTACCCACTTATCAAAATTCCCTCTTCAAAACTTCAATTAATAATTTATTACTCATCTTTAATGTTTTTAAGGGTTGAATGTCTTTCATTTTTAATATTTTTAAATGAGAAGCCAGTCAAATGTTGTTAATATCGATCAACAAGAACGTCCAATTAGAGATACCAATTCAAGCACATCTGAAGATTCAGAAGAAAGTTTGCCTGATTCATTTGGTTTTTTAAAGATTATTTCAGTAAATAGTAAAATTTTAAAAATTTAAGAAGAAGCCAGAGCTCCATTAACAAGGCGACCCCAATCCGTTCAAGAAGACGAAATTCTCAATGATGCCAACGAAGAAAACGATGAAAATGTTCGCGATGACCAGCCTTTTACAAAAGAATTGACAAAAAGCAAGCGGAAAATTCCTAAAGAACGACGAAAGACTGGGGTATATTTTAATATTTTTAAATAGAGTAAGGGAAAATTTGGGGACTTTTGATTGTTTCTTTTTTTTGTAACCTCTATGATCCAGCTAAAATTTCTCTGGTTTCATTCGGTCTTACCAAAAGTGATTCTTATGTGTTGGGCGTTTTGGCGCAATTATGTTCTTTGTTTGTTACAACTACGGAGAAAGCTAACGATAGGACAACCTCTGTCGTAACAAGCAAACAACAGCGCTTGCGCCAAAAGATCCCAACCAATTTGGACCGACTTTTGCTCGGGCTAATTTTTCTCTCAATCCAGATATCAAGTTTTTCCCCTTTTATTTTTCCCAACAGAGATGAATAACAATTTTTTATATTCGTTTTTAGTATGCCTTCCTTCTACTTGTTTTTGCTGGATTTTTAAATGATTTTGTTCTTTCCTATATTCACGAACTAATTCCTGAATCGCCTCCACTTCCTGATTTTGCATTTTCAATTTTGCCTTATTGGCCTTGGGCATTGATTGTCTCTGAAGTTTTGATGATTTCTTCCTTTTCTGCAATGCTCACAGTTGCAATTCTTCATAAATATAGATGGGCAGTTCTTCGGTTTGTTATAATTTTATTTTGAAAAAAATTTTTGGAAGATTTATAAGATTACTTGAGGAAATTTTCTAAATTTTTTCTTTTTTATTAATCATTTTTCCATTTTTAGCCGAATCTTCACAATTGGATTTTTACTTTACCTTGGTCGCTGTGCTACTATGGCAAGTTTACTTTTTTTAATTAAGTCCGGTGGGAACCGGGGAATTTTTGTTTTCCTTAATTTGCTATCAGAAAAGTGAGCAGACCATCCGTTCAAGACCATGACTAAACGGAAAATGTCATAAAATATTTAGTCAAATGTCCAACATTCAGGCCCGTAGCCAGGGGGGGTAGGGGGGGGGGAATTCCCCCCCCCCCCGAAATGGGGAAAAGGGAAAAATTTGGGGAAGGGCTGGGGCAAAAAAAGTGAATTTTTTTGGCCTACGGCCTTTTAAGATTCTCAAAATTTTCGCCTGCGGCGCTGAAAATAAAAATTTTTGGCGCCTTCGGCACCAAAAATTTTGCGCAAAAAATTTTTCTTCCCCTTGGCCCCCCCCCCCCCCCCCGAAAAAAAATCCTGGCTACGGGCCTGCCAACATTTATGGGCCTTATAACCCTGAATAGACTGGACGGTGACCTTATTAGATTTTATTTTTTGTTAAATATGAATTTCAAATAATATTGAATTTCCTCTTATTGATTTTTTAAATAAAAAATTTCAGTTTGTTACTCAAGTTCCAGTTGCTGATCCCAATTATTATTGCTCTCCCAAATTGAAACCTGAAGAAAGAACTGTATATTTTTTAATTTTTTGTTTTAATTTTAAAAAATATTTTTTTAGTTTTGGAATATTTTGGTTCGAGCATTATCCGTCTTAATTGGACTTGGGCTTAAAATAAATGGAAGACATACACTTTGTGGTGATTATATTTATAGTGGCCATACTATTGTACATGTTTTGTGTTATCTTTTTATTAAAGAATGTGAGGTTTAATTTTTTAAATTTTCTGGTAGTCAAAAGACCGACCTTTTTTTTGTTAATCTTACTGAAAAAATATTTAAAAAAATTTTGTAGCTTAATGCTAACCTTTGTGATTTTGGTGATTCTGTCATTATCATTTTGTAAAAAAACAGAAATTAGGATTTTTTTGATTTTGGTGTCATCGACACAGCTCGACGAGTTCTATACATAATACTGACTGACCATTTTTTAATGTTTTGAGAAAGGTAAAAGTAGTGGGGGTACGAACCGAAGAATTACCGGTTTTTATTAAGGCTGGTGTTTTACAGAAAATTACCTGATATTTTTTAATTTTTGATTTTCGATAAACCAATTATGCTTTTATTTTTTCGATTTTTTTCCAAATTTTTTATACAAATGTTAAGGTCAACCAATATTTGAAGATATTGGTTGACAACTAACCATTATTTGAAGATCTAACTAAAAATAAATTTTTGTTTTTAGACAGTCCTCGTCGTTGGCTTCCTCTCCATATTTTGGCATTTGCTTTTTCTATTGTTGGTGTTTTATCATTGCTTTTTTCGCGAGGACATTATAGGTTTTTTTAATTATTAGAAAATATTTTTTTGAATAATGTTAAGCAAAATTGAAATTTTGAAAAAAAAAGAGTAAATTGGACGTAGTGTTAGGATTGATTTTGTTTTTGGAAAAATGATTATAAATAAGGGAAATTTTTAAAAAATATGACAAAGAAAGGAGAATTTGGAAGGAAATGAATCATAAATAAAATTCTAAACGTTTTCAAATTTTAAATAATTCTTGGTATTTTTTACATTGAAATTTTGAAAAATTCTAAAAATTTTTTAGTATTGATGTAATAATCGCTTATTGGATTACTACGCGTATTTTTTGGTTTTATCATACACTTGCTGATTTTGACGAGCTTCGAGTTTAATTTTTAAAAAATTTTTTAAATCATTCTTTTTTATATTTTTAGCACAGCTTTAATGGCAGAAATCGTTTTGTAAATGTTATTTGGTACCCTTTGTTTAATTTTATGGAACAATCTGTGCATAGACCGATACCTAGAAAGTTTGGTTTTTTTATTTTTGAATTAAAAAATATTTTTCTTAAAGATATGAATTGCCTTTTAAACTCCCTGCTGGTTTAATACGTTATTGGCAACAAAGACGTGGACGTTCAAATTCGGCAGGATATTTAATTGTTTGAAAAATTTGGTATTTTTACTATAATAGGAAACAAAAAATTATTTTTAAATTAAAATATTGATTGTGAACAAGGGCGCATTCAGTAAAAATTTTTTTAGGAAAAATGACTTTTGGTCTTTATTCGTAGTTGGCCGAGAACCCCAAAAATTTTATCCGATATTTTTATTTTTCTACAGTTTGGGTGGGAGGGAGGGGTCCACTGGATGCGCTCTTTTCCCCTAATATTGCTCATTTATTCTCTCATACGGCCTAACTACTTTAAAAAATTATATTACTTTAAAGCCTATATTTTTAGATAGTACTTTATTTTAAAAAATTGTCAACATTTTAAGAGCGGTTCAATTAGAATATTGGGGTTTTTAATATTTTTAGGTAGAAGAAAATCAGTAATTTTCAGGAAAAAATATCTTATCGTTTAAGGACATCTTATCATTTAAAGGGCAAACCCAACCCCAATGTTACAGGTTAATATAAAAGTCAAAATAATAAAAGTCCTGTACTCTTGACCTTTTAAAGTTAAAAATATCCCTTATTTACAAGATGTTTTTAAAATTGACATTTGTCAGGAACATTTTTTCGGAAAATACATATTAGTCTGTTTCAAATTTTTCATAGATCCGCATGTAATAAGCATTTTCATTTTATGATAAATACCCAATATTCTAATTATCCTATCAATTTTATATTTTTTATCATTTAATTTTATCCCGATGTTTTTAATATTTTAGTTTTATTGCAATTTTTTCATTATTATATTTAATAGCTATATACAAATTTATCTAATAAATATGAAAATTAGTAAAAAATGTTTGTGGATTTATATTCCTATATTCAAGGAAATCCACAATGAACTTCAAATGACATTTCCATTAATCTACATTTCCCTCCACGCCATAAATACCATTCACGGGCAAAATCACCAAATTGTTTGGGTAGAGCTTCTCTTGAGGTATCATAAGAAAAATATCTTATACATTCTCGACTCCAACTTGGCACCTTTTTGGGGGAATTTACAATTATTTTTACAGGCAAATGTTTAAAACTGGTCTTTCAGCTTTCGATTTCATCCGTTTTAGGATCCGATTTCGCTTTTTAGACCAAAACACCGGGTTTTGGTTCGGTTAACCGAGTTTTGGGCACCCCTAATTAGAACAAAACTGGAACCAAGTCACGTTTAGAAGCTAATCATCACCTTTGATATCACAGAGTCTCTATCAGCTCCACGACATTCAATATTACATGAAGTTCGTCCTTCTATTTCTCCTTTCATTTAAAATTTTTAAAGGGGAAATTCTCTTAAGGGAAGTTTTCTTCAAAAAATTACCTGTTTCAAGCCTAAAACTTTCCTCATGACATTTTGCCAATTTAGGCTTTTCCTCCTTTCCAACAGTTAAGTAACACTGGCCAGAATGTTTTCCATCCTTGCTAGGACTGCAATAAAGTATTCGACGTTCTTTAAGAAATTTTCTTTGATTTTTTAAAAAATTTTCTAGAAGACATACTCCATTCAATTAACATATTTTTAAAAATATTTTCCTCAGCATTTAAGGCATAAATAAAATGGAAAATAAAGGAAACAGTTAATATTGAATACATTTTTTGAAAAATAATAAATAAATGATTAACCAAAAATAATAATTAGAGGAAATAGGGAGAGATTATTAATCATTTTCCTTTTTTTGGATGTTTGGAAGGAAACTAGATGTTTGGAAGGAAACTTTTCTGTGGTATTAAAGGTTGCGATGATCATAGAGAATGTTTCTTGCTAGAATATAAATCACCTCCCCAATGATATACACTAAATTATCGTAGTAATTTGTAAGGATGCTGATTGTTGCTTTATAGGATGGTGATCTTTTGGGTTAAAATTAAATTTTTCTATTTTTCCTTGTTGACGAAATGCAAATTTTCCCGTTAACTGGCGAAACGAGTAAATCCATTTTAGCAACTTTTCTTTATTATTTAAGCCGATTTTTTTATTTACTTACATATTTTAATAAATTTTTTTCTTTTTTTGGAATAAAATGTAAGAATAATGCCTCCAACAACATTAACTAGTTCGCTCCATCCGAGCAATCGCGATGCAATATCCTGGTTAATTCATTAAATTTTATTTCTAATTTGATGTCTTTATAGGAATGAAAAAGGCTTGATAGCCTTTGGCTGTCATTCAACCTTGGTGCTTTTTGACACTTGTAAACTTGAAGTCTTTCAAACGCTAGAACAACATACTACAGCAATTAATTTGGTAAAAATAAAATTTTTAGAATATTTCGGGGTACAAATTTAAATTTGCCGGCCAAACTTGTTCGAGTTTTTGGATTGAAGTTTCGGGGACCACTGGAGTTGTGTATTTCTGCACTCGGTGTGGGTAGCTAATATTCCCAGTATTGTGGTACCCTTATAGTTAGTATAATATTCGATTTTTTGCCTCAAATGTAGTTGGAAATCGGATATTCAGATTCGATATCCGATTCGAAAATTTTCGCCTTTTTCGGATCCGGATCCGATAACCTTACAAATTATGTATACAAGTGAGTCCGACTATGTTTTCATAATAGGCCCCGCGATTTAAATGTTGTCTCTATGGAAAAAGGTTTTTTATTTTTTAGGTTTGTTGGAAACCTCCTATTGACCTTCTCTTTCGAATAAAATCAAAAGACAACAACGACAATATTCGTTATTGTAGTGATATTAATGTTGGCTGTGCTTCTTCAGATATTAGTGGCAATATTTTTATTTGGGATATTCAAATGGGAATTGTTGTTGCCTCTTTACGTTATTTGACTACAAATGTTAATGGTTTTATTTTTTAATAATTTTTTTGAAAATTAATAATTTTTTTGGAATATAGTCAACCTCACTGTAAGAGAGACACGCCATGTAGGCGCGCGGCCATAACGGCGCAAAGCTATAACCTGCTAAAAAATTTCGGGCCTTTATCATTTTTACTATCAATCTCTTTAGCTCGATGAGAGGAATTGTTTAATACTAAATTTGGTGAGATTTGGAGATTTTGAAGCAAGTTATGGCTTTGCGCCGTTTTGGGCGCGCGCCTGCTTGGGCTGTACCCCCACTAGAGAGCGAGATTTTCAAAAAGCCTTGACCTTGATCCTTGACCTTGATTTCGGTTGGGTACCTTGACCAGATTCTTGACCTTGAATCAAGGAAAAATCAAGGTCAAGGAAAAATCAAGGATTATTTTTGCCTGGATCCAGGCCTTGATTCTTGATTTTTTTTATTTGGACGGATATCGGGAGATTAGGTGGGATATACTGGTATTTAATGGGATAGTATAGAATTTGAAGGGATATTGCGGGATTAAGTGTATATGGAAGAGCATTTGACCGGATATCTAGGAATATAAGATGAAGAAAGAAAAAAGAATACGGTGGGCTAAGCTGGATATCTGAGATTCAGACGTAAGAGTGATATTGTACATTTGAGGGATTGGAGGGATATCAGGGGATTAAGAGGGATATCTGGACGGATATAATCCCTCTATGTACTTTATACCTGTTAATCCTCAAAATATCCTCTTAATCACTATGATCCTTCTACATATATCCCTCCATGGGGAGGGATTTTCGCCTATGACCGTACAAATTCTCAAAATTTTCGCCTACGGCACTGACAATAAAAGAAATGTGGCTTAAGAATAGGGTTGGGGCCCGATCCGGCCGGGCCGAAAGATCGAGTCGGGCCTTGAATTTTGGCACGAAAAAGACTCGCTCGGGCCGGCTTGATAAAAATGAGGCTCGAAAAAGACTCGTTCGGGCCGGCTGATAAAAATGAGGCCCGAAAAAAATGACTCAAACGTCGGCTTTCAAACTTCAGAAAATTCGACCCCCTGGCTTCGTCCTTGATGGGGATTCAATTTGTTAGTAGATCAAGGATTTGAGAATTTTGAGAATTTTTTAAGATTCTTAAGCCAAAAATCTTCTTTTTTCTGCGCCGCAGGCGAAAATTTTGGAAAATCCTTAAGGAGGACCCTTTTCGAAACACCTCTGGTTGGGGGGAAAATTAATCAAGGAAATCAAGGAAAAAATTTGCCTTGACCTTGATTCTTGATTTTGGTTGGGTACCTTGACCAGATTCTTGACCTTGAGTCAAGGAAAAATCAAGGTCAAGGAAAAATCAAGGAACTCTGCAAAATGCCTTGATCTGGACTCTGGATCCAGGAAAAATCAAGGTCTGGATCCAGATCCAGCTCGCTCTCTAACCCCCACTATAAGATATATCCTTTGGTCTGAAAAATCAGTGTCTGATGGTGAAGTTATCTTAAGTAGAGAGTATCGTCTTCCCCATCCAGTGACTAAATTTAAAGAGTGCGTAAATTAGAGGTGTTTTCAGGATTAGGGATATCTAGGTTAGTGGTATCTTATAGTGAGTTTCAACTGTTTTCTTTTTTGGAAACATAAATTTGAAAAAAAACTTTTTTAGATCTCAAATGGTTAAATTGGCCAAATTCGGATTACAACCTTTTATTAAGTATTCATTCCAATTCAACTCTAATTCTTTGGAATGTTGACAAAAAGGAAAGAATTTGGGAACACAAATTTAATGTCAGCATTCATAAAATTAGTATGGACCCTTTTGATCAAACAAAAGCGGCAGGTTTGTTTTATATTTTTTTTAGATTTTTGGGAGAGAGGGGTGTCTTCAAGAGTGTTTTGTCGTTTTTGTGGATTTATTCTTGCTGATTTTTTACAGATTTCAACGGGTCTTGTTCCTTTCTGTTCCTTTAATTTCTGAAACTTTCATATAAATTTAATTTCGGAAAATCTTTAAATTTCTTTTCGCATAAAATTTCCGTAGGTGACCTCTTAACGGTGCCATTTTCGAGCCAAACGTACTACAACAAAAACGTAACTTGATCAAACTAAGAATATCTTAGTATGTTTGGTTTTAATATTTTAATTCAGCGAACCATAATTAGGTGTTCAGAGACATTGATCTAATAATAGTGTATCTATGTTTAACTCATTATTTTATGTATTAAATTTAAATAATTTTTTATTAAAGTAAGCTCTATTGGTTCTAGTCTAATCCTTTTGGAAAAACTCTCATCCCTTCACTGGTCTGATTCAAAAATTACTTCAATGACGCTTGAACCTCGAACAATTCCAAATTCCTCTACAAAATTAAATAATTCTTCTTCAATTATTCAATTAAAATATCATTTGGCTTATCCACAACTTTTATTTGTTCTGTTTCCGACAGAAATTTGTTTGGTTGAAACAAAACATTGTCAAGTCATTTTTAGTTCAATTATTGATACTGGATCGCCTTTAGTTCAGGTTTTTATTTTAATTATTCTATTTTGATTTTTTGGGGAAATAATTTTTTAAAGGATTTTGAGGGTCTTAAAGGTCTAGGATTCAATTTTATTTTTTTACTACCGGGGCGGGTCGGAGAAGTCAGACCTTGGAAATTTAAAAAATCGTGTTTCTGAATTCGGTTGTTAAAACGCAGGAAATTTGAATTTTGTAACCGCCTCTATTTGTTTTTAGAGTGTTGAAATTCGAAGGTCAAAAATTCGAGGTTGTTGGGATTAAAGTGTTGTTTTTGTAGTTAGACGGGATCTGGGTTTAACCATGCGTTTAAACTTAATACTTTCACTAACATTTAGATTTTTTCTTACATTTTCCCTTTGTTCTATTTGGAACTTATTTTCCTTACAATATTTTTCTCTTAAGAATTTTTTTTTATTGAACATTTTTTCTTAAAGATTCTTCCATGTGCTGAAAAAGATGCCTTCTTTTTAATTCATCAAAATGGGACTTGTTCTTTTCGACTTGCCAATTTTCACTTTTCTGATGAAAAAATGTGTTCAGAATTGGATTATGAAAGAAAATGTTCAATAGATTCAATGCAACGACAATCAATTAGATTAAGAGTTATGGGAGCTTCTATATGTCCAACAACTAATTCTTCTTTTATTTTGCTAATTAATTCTGGAAAATTGTTAATTTATCAATTGGTTAGTTTTTTTATTTAAAAATTAGAAAGAATTTATTTTTAGGAAGATGCTCGTCAAGAAATTGAACCTTATCGTATTGGAATGATTAATGATTTTATTGAATTAGATGAAGAATGTCAAATGCGTGTTGCTAGTAAATCTGGACAGCTTAGGTTTTTATTTTTAAAAACTAAAAGTTGGGGAAAGAGCTGCGCCGAAATTTAGACTTTTGATTTCGATATTTTTTGATTTTTTCAATTACCGATTTCCGGAGATTTTTTTTTGTTTTGGCGCAGCTCTGGTTGGGGGGATGGTAATTATTTGCTCCCTTTCTGTTTGCTAATTCACGCAAGTTTGTTGTTTTTCAGTCAACAAAAATTGTTAAAATTAAAGTTGCTCGTGATCCTTTTTTTAATAAAATGGAGGGTTTTCTCACTAGAAAATGTTAAAATTATCAAAATTCTTTTCCAACTCGAAACCTAACAAAGGGACGTGATTTCTTTCGAAAAAATCTAAATTGCGATTTGCTCCTCAAATTGCAATTTTTCCTCATATCTTTGGTTTTATTTCTATGCATTTTTGAGCTAACTTGCTTTTTGAATGAACCTAGAAATCATTCTCTGAGCTCCAATTTTTTTTCAGGTCCTAATGTTCTTCCTCAACATTTATTTTCAATATTTTTTTATAAAATTTTTTCAATTTTTAGATTAACTCAATATGGAATTTATTCACCATTAAGTACTACAATTACAGTTATTAGAATGCGTCCAATAGATTTATTTAATACTTCATCTGAACCCAGTTTAATTTTTTCTTTTAAAATTGGTCAATTAGCAGCAGTTGGTAGCTCTACTGGAATTATTCATTTAATTAATGTTTGTGGAGAAAAAATTTGTAAATTTAAAGATTTACAAATACACAGCTGCCCTGTCAAGTAAGAGAATTTTTAAAAATATTTTTTGAAATTTTTTATTTTTGAAGATGTTTGGAATGGGCTGGTCCAAATGCTATTGTTTCTGCTGCTTATATTGCTTCTCTAAGTTCTTCAAATACTGTTCGGAATGATATGTTGGTTTTTAAAAAGGAGATTTTTTAATTTTTTTAAATTTTTTTTTAGTTTTATAACTGATATTCAAACTGGTTGGAAACGTCGGCTTAGGCCAGAACGAGAAGAATCTCCAATTGAGGTTTATTTTTAGATGAAAAATCAATTTTTGGCCCTAGGTTGTTTTACGGGAATTAAATTTCAGAGGAAGTTGTGCTTTTCTGATTTAAATTTTTTAGTTATATGTATTTGGGGCCCTGAAACAGATTTTAGAAGGCGGAGGCTAAAACCGAAAGAAAGTTGACCTAAAAAAGCTAGCTAACGGACTTTCTTCTTTGTTCCGCATATTTTGCTAATGTTTCTAAATCCAAAAATCTTTTGAGACCTAAGGACACGAAAATTTCTATTTTTAATAAAAAATTAATTATTTTTTAGACAATTCGTGTGTCTCACTACAACAGTTATTTGGCAATTTCTTTTCGTCAAAATCCTCTTGAAATTTGGGATTTGGGTACTCAACGACTTTTAAGAAGAATGAATAAACGTTGTCCTATAATTTTGGATATGTGTTGGAGTGGAAAACATCATCAATCTAAAATTGTTAATGAAAGCAAAACGAAGATTTTTCGAGAAAATTTGGTTGTTTTGGATAATGATAATCATTTGTAAGCAAAATTTAGATTTAAATATTTTTTAAAATTTGATTTTTAATTAAGTCGGTCTTGAGTTAAAAAGAAAAGAAAAAAACTTTTTTTTAAAGGCCCTGGGGTTAAAAATAGAATCTTCTGATGAGTCTGGTTGGCAATTCT